AAAGCGATACTGAGAAAAAAAATCAGCAAAGCCAAAGGTATTACACTACAAAGATATAGAAAGCAAAACAGTATAGTATTGGTAGAAAAACAGACATACAGACCAATGGAACAAAATTAACAGCCCAGAAATAAACCTACACACATTTGGACAACTGATATATGACAAAGGAGTCAAGAACATACAAGTAAGAAAGTAAAGTCTCTGCAATAAATCAGATGGCCACATTGAAAAGAATGAAACAAGTCCATTATCTTACATCATAAACACAAAATAACACAGGATAGATTAAAGACTTGAAAGTAAGACCAGAAACCATGAAATACATAGAAGGAAACCTGGGCAATAAGCTGTGGGACATCATTTTTTAATGCAGTTTTTATGTATTTGACCACAATGGTAAGGGAAACAAAAACAAAAATAAGCAGGTCTACATCAAACTAAAAGTCTTCTGCGCAGGAAAGGAAATGGTTGAGAAAATGAAAATGCAACCAACCAAATGGGGAAAGATATTTGCAAATGATAGTTTTTTTAAAAATCCTTACCTAAAAACATTTTTTTTATTGCTTTTAGAGAGAAAGGGAGGGAGGGAGAGGGAGAGAAGAGAGCTAGAGAGAGAGAGAGAAACATCCATGTGAGAGAAACATGGATCGGTTGCCTTCCATATGCACCTTGACCAGGATCGAACCCAAAACTTAGGTACGTGTGCCCTGACCAGGAGTCAAACCTGCAACATTTTGGTGTATGGGATGATGCTCCAACCAACTGAGCCACACTGGCCAGGGCTGCAAATGATACTTTTGATAAGGGGTTAATTTCCAAAATAGATAAAGAATTCATAAAACTCAGCAACAACAAAAACAACCCAAATAACAAATGGGCAGAGGATCTGAATCAACATTTTTCCAAGAAGAAACATAGATGGCCAACAGGCACATTAAAAGATGTTCAATATCATTAATTATTAGGGAAATGCAAATCAAAATCACAGCAAGATATCCACTCACACCTGTCAAAAGTGTCAACAAACATGGAGTTTTGGCGAGGATGTAGAGAAATAAGAACCACCATGCATTGTTGGTGAAATTGTGAATTGTGGGAATAACTATGAAAAGCATTATGCAAGTTTCTCAAAAAAATAAAATAAAATAAAACCTATAACTCAGCAATTCCACTTCTGAACATGTATGTGAAAAAAAAAGACACTAATTCAAAAAGATATATGCCACCTTACATTCAGTGCAGCATTGTTTATAATAGCCAATATATAGAAGCAGCTTAGGCATCTATCGACAGATGAATAGATAAAGATTGTGTGAGTGTGTGTGTGTGTGTGTGTGTATAGATACACATGTATAATGGGATATAATTAATCCATTAAAAAGAATGGAATCTTACCCTACTCACAACATGGATAAACACAAAGGATATTACACAAAGCAAAGTAAGTCAGACAGAGAAGGACATATATTGTATAATTTCACTTATATGTAACTTTTTTAAAAAAACCAGCCAAACAAAACCAAAGAGAAATAGACACATAGATACAGAAAACTAACTGATGGTTGCCAGGGTGGAGGGCAGCTAGAGAGTAGGTGAAAAAGGTGAAGTGGTATAAGAGGTAGAAACATCTAGTTATAAAATAGATGTCATAGTAATGTAATGCATACTACAGGGAATATAGCCATTCATATTGTAATGACTTTGCACATGACAGATGGATATATGCTCATGGCATCGTAAGGTATATAAGTGTACAATCACTGTGTTGTACACCTGAAAGTAACAGATGTTATATGTTAACTATACTTTACCAATAAAAGATAAACCGAAGCATATTAACAGTAAATTAGTTAAATAATTAATTAATAGAGGTAAATAGAAAAGACTATTTTTCTTTTTAACTTTTTTTACAATATAACCACTCTACACAAAATATATAACATTGTATTGTAATAGTTTAGTCTCTCTCTCTCTCTATTTATTTATTTGAATTTATTGGGGTGACATTGGTTAATAAAATTACATAAGTTTAAGTTGTACAATTCTTTTTTTCATAGTAATGTTTTTTTATTGTTGTTCAAGTACAATTGTCTACATTTTCCCCCCACCACTAGCCCTGCCCCACTTGTCCCCACTTCTCACCCTCAAATCTACCCCCTTTGGTTTTGTCCATGGGTCCTTTATACACGTTCCTTGATGACCCTTCCCTATTTTCCCCCATTATCCCTCTCCCGCCACTCCGGTTACTGTCAGTTTGTTCTTTATTTCCATGTCTCTGGTTCTATTTTGCTTGCTTGTTTGTTTTGTTGATCAGGTTCCACTTACAGGGGAGATCACATGATATTTGTCTTTCACCCTCTGGCTTATCTCACTTAGCATAATGCTCTCCAGTTCCATCCATGCTGTCATGAAGGATAGCAGCTCCTTCTTTCTTTCTGCTGTGTAGTGTTCCATTGTGTAAATGTACCCTAGATTTTTGATCCACTCATTTACTGATGGCAGTTGCTTCCAGCACTTGGCTATTGTAACTTGTGCTGCTATGAACATTGGGGTGCATAGGTTCTTATGACAACTCGAGCATAAAGGATAGGTGTTGGTAAATATACTTCCATAGTAGCAAGTTTTCTACATTTTCTTTTTTAAACATTTTTATTGGATTCATTGAGGTGACATTGGTTAATAAAACTATAAACAGCCCAAGTGCTCATCAGTAGATTTTTGCATTACATGCAGTAGAATTGAGAAATTTGTAGTACAACTTTTGATTCAGTTATACTGGATCATGGCAGAAAATGTACTTTTCATTGATGGCTTTTGTATAAAAATTATCTTTGAAAATACTACTCTAGTCCAATCCCCTCACTTTAGAGGGAGAGAAAGAAATGATCAGAGAGATAAAGAACTTCCTGAAAGTCAAACATTAAGTTAGCAGCAGAAAAGAAATACGTGCATGTTGAGGGATTATGACTCTTGGCCTGGCGTTGACCTGGGCCTGAGGCACACTATAAACCTAAGGAACTTGTGATTAAGAAGGTCAGGGAAGAGTAGGTGACTCTACCTCAAATACCAAGCATGGAGACCAAACAGAAAATCATGGACCTGAGCCACCTTTCCTGTGATCAGGGTGGACACCACCCATCTAGAGTCCTCCTAAGATTAAAATGACCGACTTGAGTCTAAGACATAGCCTTCCATCTCCAACCTCTATCTCCATCCCAGATGCATCCTTATGTTAAGATGTTGACAAAAGAGAAACAAAGGGACATTCTAGGGAGGGGAGATTTGTTCAGTTTTACCTCTATTAATAAGGAAGAAAACCAGAAAGACATGTGGAATAAGGGATCCTAGACTAAAGCAAATATCTAGGAGAACTTTAATAAGATTCAGTAACTTTTGTCAACCTCCTCTCCCATCCCAGCATTGATTTTTGTCCCTCCCATTTCTTTTTAGTGATAACATTAAAACCCTTTAAATCAAAAGCTCTGGTTCTTGTGTTCGATATTAGCAAGGAAAGGTAAACCAGTAAGATCGGCCAACTCTGTAGCCAGCCTTATGAAAAATTTGTGAAATAGTGTAAGACAGGCAGAGTCATTTGAGAAAAAAATCTGAGTCCCTGGAGTTTGAAGAAAGTAAAGGGTGAGCTTAGGTCTGAGATATGTCCCTAGTGGCTTAACTGGCAGGAAATCTTGGAGCTCCATGACCCTGCTGGAATATCTACCACAGCTGTCCATTAGCTTGGCCTGCAAGAGCTCTTGACACATTTTGTAAGTCAGTCCTAACCTTGTTTCCCTGTCAACTACCTGCGTCAGTACTCAGCGAAAGGAGATTTTGCCTAAATTGACACTTTAATTTTTCTCTGAATAGTTTATTTAACTTTTACAAAATGGAGTTTGTAACATATTTAAAAAATGTATTTTTAAGATAAATTGCCTTAGAAACAAAAGTAAATAAAAGCCAGTTTATCACTTAATAGGGCTTTAGTTGTGGCTGTTATATGTTAATCCACATTCTATGAAAATATATCACATTAATAGATATAAAATTTACATAGCTATATGTATGACTATTAAATATCAACCCAGCTGATACATTATAATCCTCTAAAAATGATTCTTGACAACATTAGGTATATTAATTTAAAATTGGAGATGGGTCCATCAAGAGGTGAGTGGATTAAAAAGTGGAGACATATATAAAAAATGGAATCTTACTCGGCCATAAAAAATGAAATTATACCATTTATGACAGCATGGATGAACCTAGAAGGTATCATGCCAAGTGAAGTAAGTAAGAGAGAGAAAGACAAATACCACATGATTTCACTTACATGTGGAATCTAAAGAACAAAATAAATGAACAAACAAAATTGAAATCGACTCATAGACACGGAGAGCCAACTGGTGGTTGCCAGAAGAGGGGTGGGTTGGGGTAATGGGGGAAAAAGGTGAAGGGATTGGGAAGTACAAATTGGTAGTTACAAAATAGTCATGGGGATGTAAAGTACAACACAGGGAATATAGTCAATAATATTGCAACAACTATGTATGGGGCCAGGTAGGTACTGGAAATATCGGGGAATGCTTTGTAAAGTGTATGATTGTCTAACCACAATGCTGTACATCTGAAATTAATATAACGTAACATTGAATGGACATTACAATTGAAAAATAAAATTTAAAGATATTGAGATAGAATCTGAGTGGGCAGATGTGTTCTTACATCAGTTCCCAATGTTTTAGGAAATATGAAGTAAAAACTCCATTGCACTTTAGTCCCTAATACCTCATTCTCTCTCTCTCTCTCTCTCTCTCTCTCTCTCTCTCTCAGTCATTCACTCACTCACTGCTTACACACAGTCTCTCTCTGTTGCCTAGATAAGTAATACCATCTACCAAGAGATTTACCTGAGACAAAAAGATACACCAGGTTCAGCCTTAAAACCATTTAAACTGCACATGAGCCAGCCCTAAGGCCCCAAAGTGCTTTTTCTCCCTTACCTTTCGGAGTTTACGAATGACCAGGGTTAGAAGAAGCCAGAAAAGGGTGGCTGCAAGGCCAGTACAAACAAGAATGATGACTTCAATATTGGATTTGTCTTCAGAGCCTGTAAAGGTATTGAAAACAGAATTTATTAAAATAAAAATAAGTTAGTTCACTGCAGAGACTGAGAGGGAGAAAGAGAAAATTACTGCCTTTTAGAAAACATGTTTGGTTTCTAAAGGACAAATGCCACCAAGTGCCAAAATTGTGTGTGTGTATGTGTGACATTTTTATGGAGTGTGGGCACTGACCTCTAAGACTTAGAGAAAAATGTCCCTCATAATTGTACTAGATGACTCAAAAGAATGAGCTGAATACATATTATATATATGACCTGAGGCACAAAGCCAAAACGAGACATTTGAAGTTATGCTCTGTGTAATCAACTGGCTCTCAAGGACAAAGGCAAAATAGGTGTGAGGTATGGCATCAGATTGCCTAGGTTCAAATCCTGCCTCTACCACTTACTAGCTGCATGACCTTGGGCAAGTTACTAACCTCTATGTGCATCAGTTTCCCCTCCAAAAGTGGGAACAATAAAATACCTAACACATAGGGTTATCCAGAGTATTAATGAGATAATGATAAGTGAAAATAGCACTGTATATTGCATATCATTTATTTTACCTGTCTTGTTATTATCAGTTTTCTGTTTGTTTGGGTTTTTTTTTTATAGTTTAGACCCTGGATTATCTCAGACCACTGGGAGACCAGATTATTTAATCAACTTATACAGTTTGCCTGGTATGCCCTAGAAGAGAATAGCTGAATGTGCAAAAGGCTTTGGGAATGCTTGGATGGTTATTCCAACACTAAGCATTTCTTTCAAGACATACAGCTTTGCCGTTAAGAGTTAAATACTCATCATAATAGCTTAAGGCATTTGGAGTCAATACACCTTGCCATAACCTTCAACAAGTGTCTTACTTTCTTTGGGCTTCATCTTTACAATGAAAGGCGATCAAAGGTCTAACGTTCTATGTTTCTATTTCGAAATGACATCCAATAGTTTCCAACCAAAGGAAGTAATCTTATTTGATATTTTATATTTTGTAAAGCACTCTCATATCTTGACCTTCGTTTGTATCGCCTTTGAAAGATAGAGTACAGCTGGTGTTATTCTCATTTCAGAAATGAGAAATCTGAGACCCAAAAAGCCTAAATGACTTACGCAAAATCCCAACAAGTTTGCAACAAGCATGGGGTTCTGAATTCAGGTTTTCCAAATCGCACTATTCCACATACTTTCCCGTTGAAAGTGGATATATTAAGGGTACACCCATGCTTGTGTTCTTCACTGTCATTCTACACTGTGTCCCCATCACCAAATGCATTTTCTTTCTTTTTTGAGATCCATTGCTGATCATCAATATAGATAGGAATTTTCCAACTTACCTTCCACGGTGATAAGAGCTGCGGTGCTCACTTCCCCCAACTCATTGGTCGCTTTGCACTGATATAAGCCCTCATCTTCTTTTTTAGCTCGTTGAATAATAAGGCTGTTGTTCTCAAAGGAGATTCCTGCATCAACAATACCCCCCTCATTATTATTTGAAGTGTTTGCATTGAAGCCCAGCCTTAGATTACGTGAAGCCCTCAACTTATTAAGTCAATCTTGGAACAGTTTCAGTCACGTCATCTCTAAGGAGCTGCATCAGCTAAGGCCCTCTGGATTGGAAACAACTCCACAAGATCTCCAGACTTACCCGAAGCAGGGAGAACAGGAACTCCATTTTTCAACCAGTGGATGTTAGGCCACGGTGTTCCACTCACTTTGCAATCCAGCAAAATCTTGCCACTGATGTTGACCTCAATATTGGTAAGATTCTCAATAATGAATGGGGCAACTCTTTCTGTAGTGACCAGGGTAAAAGGAGACAAGATTTTTGTCGCAGGGTACCATAAATATGACATTTAATCTGTCTTACCCCTCATATGTAATCGGATATTTGGATGAGTAAGTGTTACCATATTCAGGAGAAGGGAAAATGGACAGGGATAAAAATGTACTGTATAAGTAAAGTGTTTGGTGGCTTGAATTTTGTAGTCTTCAAGTTACTCTATAATCCTCACATTTAGTAAGGTCATCTTTAGTCAACTCAAGCAATAAAAGTGGCTACTGAAGAGTTTTGTTATCAGAAAGACCAAAAAGTTCCATTCCCCAATTTTCCTATCATCTGTCTGACACCGAGTATACAATTCATTAAGATCCTTTTCTTGAAATGTTTCCAAGAGGTTTTAGGAAACAAAGGATTGGCTGGTACAGCCCATCAGTAATACAGAAGCAAAATCCTTATTCTGCTTCCCTAGCCCACCCAGCAGTTGCCTCAAATGCTAAGAAGTTTTAGGGAAATCTCTCCAATTGTTACCTCTAATTAAGAGCTGAGTATTGTGTTGCATCATCTTGGTGATGTTCCTCTCGGTCCAAGCCTTGCACTTGTACTGCCCTTTGTCCTTCTGGGTCACATTCTTAATCACCAGTGTCAATGAGATGGAGTAGTCATTCTTTAAGCTTTCTGTGTATATAACAGGAATCTTCTCTCCAATGGGGTTGAACCAAGCGAGGTGAGTGTAGATATATTTAGCTGCCTTGCATTTGAGCCGAGCGTCATAGCCCTCGATCACTGAGACTAGGGGTTCTGCCTCCATGAAGCCAGCCACATCTGTGAGGGTGAAGAAATGTCACTGTGAAAATCACTAGGCTCAAGAACTTGCTAGATAATGACATGCTTTGTTCTTTTTCCTGAAAACCAAGTTGTAGAGATAAAGCAGACTCCATCAGCAAGGACAAGTGTCTAGTAGCAAAGACCCAACTACATTAAGTTTTCCATGTCATTTCCTGAGTTTCATTCTGAATGCTAACAGTGGCAGAGACCACTTTTAGCCACACACAGCTCTGAATTAGTTCCCAAGTAGGTGTGGGCAGAGCTTTGAAAATATTTTCATAGAAGTCTCCTATTATGAAGAAGATAGGCAATGAAGTTTTTTGAGCGATACAATGTGGTCAGGCCAAATAGTTCCCCACTCCAGTATTATCATTAGAGTATTACAGTCTGAGAGTCTGCTATTGTAAATGACTAATAAATTTCTTGTCCAACTTACAAACCTTCACAGCAATTCCCTCATGTTAACTTTTAAAACACCCCTGAGACAGATAATATCACCAACCTCATTTCACAGATTAAGAAAGAGACAGAGACAATAATCAGCAGAGACAAGGCTGAGACACCAGGTCTACTGATTTGAGTTTGTATTTTTGCCATTTCATGCTGCCTCTCCACAGGTAAATTCTTATTTTGAAATCTACATTACAGATGCTTTTTTGTTGGATTAAGACATGACGTCTACATGAGAATAGCACTTACATGCAAATGCCCGAGGGAAAAAAAGGTAGCACAATAGCTTTAAGGCAGAAACAATGAATAGTTTACCACAGAAGTGATTTGGAAAGAAAAGCAGAGGGCTTTTTCAAAATGGAACTCTGAATACCCAGATTTTGAATTGAAAGACAACATGCAGAAACACTTCTAATCCTTTTTGCAAATATAATTGATATAAATTATAAATAAATACTTGACTACCATTCCAATGTTCTTACCCCCAAGAGATACATCAATTTTCACTTCTGAACATTACACACATACACAGAACTTTGCACACACTCTATTTTAAATGGCAATGGCTACCAACAGTCTGGGAAGATCAGTTGTTGGTTAAGAACAACGAGTGGTCCTGATTCAGGCCTAATCTATTGGTTTTGTGTGTGGTGGTGGGGGGCAGTGTCTGTGGAGGGTCAGGAATAATAGAAGGGATTCCTGCAGTCAAAGCTTTGAGATTAGCATTAAATGAGTAAAACATTCTACTTGTCATACCATTGTATTACTGTTTCTTGTGGCTAATTGCTTCCAGCATCCCAAGATTTGCTCAATGTTTTCTCTACCAATATTTATCTCAATAAAGTCTACCACTTTTTAAAAATATACTAACATTTTTATTAAGGCTCACAAAAATTTTTTATAAGAACAGTTTCTTAATACTTTTTATCTCCTATCTCTTGCATCAGAATAGGTTCAGTGTTTTCTCTAATATTTTGGGGGATGGGACAGGTAGGAGAGTAAAGGGGGGATAAATGGTGATGGAAACAGACTAGTCTATGGGTGGTAAACACACAATACAATATACAGACATTGTATTATAGAATTGTCCACTTGAAACCTATTTAATGAACCCATGTAACCCCAATATATTCGATAAAGTCTGCCTCTTGATCAATCACAGCAGCGATGCTCTTGACTGAAGAATATGGCTGGCTGAACAGCTGAGCTGACAGATTTCAAATTCTGGGTCCCTGAACACCAGCATCAAGTTTTTGATGCCAAAGGCCCATTCAGGCATGTGTAAGCGATTGCTAAACGTGGAATAATCGCCCCCTCCTCCACTTAATTTTTTTATTCCCATAAGCACATGCCAAATTTGGAGCTATTTTTGTTCTCTGTGGCCACTCTTAGGCCACATTGCCATCTGTCTACTGGACATTTCTACCTGGGGATCCCATTAGCATGTCAACAATTTAATAACCAAAAATACCTCTTTGATTTTATTCCCCTCAGACCAACTCTTCCTTTAAATTTTCCTGTGGTAGAAGACATTGTTTTCCTATCAACCAAGAACTAAAACCTCACTATTATCTTTGCTTCTTCTGTCCCTCTCACCTTCCACATCCCACCCCAGTTGCCAAGTCCTATCAATTGTTCCTTTGCCACAGCTTTCCTGTCACCCTTCCTCTCAGTCTCCACTACACAGCTGTCCCAGTCTGGGCAGTCATTACCTCATGTGCGAACAATTAAATGCTTTCTCAACTGGGTTGCTCTCCTCTAGTCTCTCCATACTCCAAACAGTCTGCACCAGCCACCTCATTCATCCTCCTGAACTGTAACTTTGATCAAAACGACTATTGAAAGCTCTCAATGACCCCCCACTGCCTCCAAATAAAGTTCATATTCCTCCCTCACTTATTCAAAGTAGGCTCCTCTAAGGCCCCATTCTTCCTCACCAACTCCATCATCCAGCTTCTCCACAAGTCATTTGTTTTTACATGCCCAGTTGCTTCATATGCTCCACAGATATGTTACATTGGCTTGTGGCAAGTAAAATTTTACCTCTTCAGACAGGTCTCCTGTGACCCCCCCACCCCCGATCTAAAGCAGGCTTCCTCACTTTAGCTTACTATTTTCCCTCTCATGCATTGATCACAAGTATAAAATGTTCATTTATTTGTTTATTTGTTTACTGTTTCTTTCCATCATTGTGATGTAAACTCTATGAGGACAAGGACCACAAAAGTTTTAGTCAGTGCTGTAGCCCTAACATCTAGCACAGTGCTTGTCACGTCATAGATGCCCAATAAATATTGGTAGAATGAACGGATGTTCATTGGTTAATGCCTATATGTCTAATTTTGGCTCGTGCCACCCTCTTCCCGTGAAATGCCATTCCCAACCTCTCTATTTCTGTGAGTAATACCTATTCATCAATCATTGTTCCTTTTTTTTTTTGAAGTCCTTTTGACTGCCCCTGCCTAAACTGATTCTTTAGATTATAAAACTTCTTCAGGTCAGGAATCCCTTCTTGGCTATTACAGAGCACTTTGTGAACACTCAGCAATTATTGACACATATTTTAAGATGTTATGATTAATAATAGACTTTTCTGTAATATAGTTGACAAGAATATAATGATGCAATCCTGGAGACTGACTTTAATATAGATGTGTTTACTAGCCTTAAAATTATTATAAAGTCAGACACAAAAAGGTCAGAGGGTCTCAGAAAGGTAAACGGCCTTACTGTGTGCTAGCCTGAGTCATGTTTCCTAATAAAACCTCTCATGTATGTCTGAAATCTTGACAGGTAAAGACAAAGCCCTGAATTTCATGCCATGGAGATAATCTTTCAGCTTTAGCCTCTGAAACTAATAATGTCTTATTTAACAAAGAACTGAGTACTGAGATAGACTAGATACTTTGTTATTATGGGCTGAATTTTTGTGCCCCCCACAAGTTCATATGTTAAGGTCCTAAAACCCAATGTGATGCTATTTGAAAGTGGAGCCATTGAGAGGTAATTTGAAGTTTACATCAGGCCATGAGGGTAAAGCCCTTATGATGGGATTAGTATTAGTATCCTTATGAGAGAGAGACCAGAGATTTCTCCCTTTTCACCATGTGGGGACACAATGAGAAGGCACACATCTGCAGGCCAGAAAGAGAGCCCTCACCACAGAATCCAACTGGCCAGCACATCGATCTTGGACTTCCGCTGGCTTAAGAACTATACGAAAAAGATTCCGATTGTTTAAGCCATTCAGTCTGTGGTATTTTGTTGTGACAGCCTAAGCTAAGACATTGATATTTAAAGGTTTTTTAGAGGAGATACAAGAAGGTTGCTCTATTATCTTCATGACTGAAATTGACCTGACCAGCGAACCTAACAGGAAGTTAAGGACGGTTTTGCTGGCTGCATTTGAGCCTCTTGAATCCTTTCCTTTCTTCCTCTTTCCCTATATGGCTATATGGATTTATGGATTTGCAGCCTGACATTTCAGAGGATGTGCCACTGCCTCCTTTCCCCACCCCGGCCTAATATAGATGTCTCCAGTGACTCATGCAAGTAAAACACTTGCTTTCTCATATGATGTGCACCCTAGAAAGCATGACTTATGGGAACCAGATGAAGGAATTCAAGCTTAAAAATCTGGATATTTTTGTCTTCAGATCTTTGAAGGTCTGCCACTAGGAAGAGTAAGCAGACAGGCTTTGTTGCAACTTCAGTAGGATTAGGAATGTGGGTGGAAGCAAATTTAGCAAAAGGACAAAATTTCTAATAGAGACGCCCCAAGATGAAACAGGCTGCCTCGGGAAGTAGGAAAATAGTTCTCTATCACGAAGGACACTCAAGCTGAACTTGAATGACTTCTTGGTAGAAATGTGGTTATAATTAAAGCATTAGGGGAAGGGAGAGGAAGGTTTGACTAGGTGATCTATCAGAAACTTTAGGATCCTGGCGGAGTGTGATTCTAGGACACTGAGAAGGAACAAATAACAAAAGCTTTTGTACACGCTATTACTTTGGCCCTTAATTCTCTAGGAATACCCTCCCATGCATTTTGCTTCTGGAAAGGCCAAAAGCTGTCCAGAAAACTCTCCATCTGAAGCATATAAGAAGCACAGAACATCTTTTGAGTGTCAAAAACTATTGGACCTTTCTCAGGCAGCTGCTGAAGATGGTAGAGGGGCAGACCCTAGTGCTCAATGGCCAAGGTCATCTTTTAGGTTGCCTGGAGGCCACTGCGGCCAAGCAGATGCTGCTGGGCTGGGAGGTGGTGGTTGTGTGCTGTGAGGGTATTAGCATTTCTGTCAATTTCTACAGAAAAAAGTTGAGGTACTTGGTCTTTTTCCACCAGTGGATGCACACCAACCCATCCTGCCACCCTTATCATTTCTGAGCCCTTAGCCACCTTCTTTGGTGGGCCCCATGAAGCATGCTGCCCCACAAATCAAGCAAGGGTACGCTGTGTTAGATCACAGCTTTTATCGTTTGTATTTTTAAAAACTTATTTATTTATTTTTATTTTAGAGAGATGGGAAGGGGAGAAGGAGAGAAAC